GGGCAGGGGGAGGTGGCGGGGCGGAGGAAGGAGGAGCAGGTGGCCGGCCCCGAGGGGTTGTGTGCAAGGAGACTGGATGCTGGGAAGGGATTCCCCTAGACTGGTGCCCAACCAATGGAAAGCCTCCTGTCCAATACCCCATAGTCTGGTTGCTCTCACCTGTCCCAAGGGCCGGATAGCTCTGCTATCAAACTTCGGTCTTCTCCTAGGTTGCTAGGAGCAACAGCTTCTTGAGGGAGTAGAGTGCATAGGAACCCTCGCTGAAATTGGACTGTATTCCTGTCCCTGGGAGGGGGAGAGGTGGTATCTGCTCTGGGCACACACATCCTCTCCCCGGATGTTTTCTGGGCAATCGAGGCTCCTTCCTTCCACAGATACCAGAGTTCTCTTTTTTGGTCTATAGCAAAATCCACTTCCTGTTGTGACCAAACACCCCCAAGAGGACATGGGGTGAATGTTTGAGTTCCAAGGGAGCAAGAGCAAAAGAATGATTTGGGGCTCTCTGCCTTAAGCCAGAGAGAGGACTAAGAATAAGGGCCTGATCCTGAACAGTCACTCTGCAAAACCCAGGATCAACCCTACCACTCCCACTGCCCTTGGGGTATGAGAATTTAGGCTTCTAAGCGTCAAGAGGACTGATATCTGAGAGAGATGATCAGAGGAACTATTGGCCTCCTGGATTTGGGGTTAAAACACCCCAGAGAAAGGGGAAGTCACTTACTTGGGGGAGGCCCCCTAATTTCCATTGCGTGTTCAGGAGAGGGAATAGATGGACCAAGGAGAGACTGCTGACTTGGCATAATTCCTTACAGTCTCATCAAATTCTGGGCCATAGGAAATGGAGAGAATGGCAGGAAGTACAAAAGGGCATCTGCCTTAGCTACCTCGCACAGCTGGGCACCTCCCTGGTAATTCCCTTACTCTGCCAATTTGGCCAGCCTCAGTATGGGCATACGATTTCCCTCCCTAACCTGGCAGGAGATGGCTGGATAAGATGTAGAGGGCGGGTGCCCTGTAGTTACTCAGGGCAACTAACCAAGAGGCACACTGTAGCTGTCACAGCCTTTTGTCAGGGCTTCTTTTGGGGAAAACATAGGACATCGGGAAGCCAGAAGTAGAAGAGAGACCAAGCCTAGGTGATATACTAGCTGTCAGCCCTCATTGGGACAGAAATTAGAATGATAATTCTAACTGCTACCATGTCCGTATTTGCCTTTGTTGCTTGGGGGTACTCAGGGGTACTCTATGAGTTTGTCATGTGACCCTATGTGTCACATGAGTTGAAAGAGGGATGGAACACTGGGCAGTGTTTCAGTTCGTTCTCTAGGAACCCTTTCCAGGAGTTGCTGCTGAAGCAAAGTGCATTAGAAGAGGTAGCAATGGCCAGAGCCCTGGGGTCTCTAGACAGTTCCCTATGCTCCCAGCAATGGGTTGGGGATCACTAGACAGTTCTCTGTGCTCCCAGCACGGGTGGAGTCTAGGCTTAGATTATTTTAGTGCCTGTATAGAAAACCCTCTTCAACTGGACAAACTGTCAGTGATGGGCCAGTTTAACAATTTAATGGTTGACAGCAGGGACTTAAAGTCAGAGTTGTCTTCCTTAAGTTTATGCCTGAGTTCCACCATGTGCATTCTCTCTGACCTTTGACAAAATTCTTGACCTCTCTATGCTTTGGTTTCTTCTATCTAAAACAGGAATTATTTCAAAATATGTCTTTGGGCTATTAGAGTAGTCACAATGCAATTGGAACACTGCTAGGACCAGAACAGTCACCCAATAAATGTTAGCCAGTATCCTCTTTGTCACATGGATGCTACTGTGTTGGGACACCTCAATGTACAAGATCCCAGGGGTCACAGCTGTCAGCCTTTGTGAAATCACAAGTAAAATATAAACAAGATGGGAAAGGAACAGGGAGGAGGGAGTGTTATTGTGCTGGCGGTTAAAGTCGAGGCCGAGTCTTCAATCTGACGGAGATGATGTCTGAGTTAGGCCTTGACCGACAAATGCATTTTTTTTAAGATTCTGAGGTCAGAGATGGGGATGTTGGAGGTTCATGAAATAAGCAGATGTGGGCAGTGCCTTCAGTAGAAACTGAGGGGTAAAGTCAAGGCACTGCTCCAGGTGTCCTCGAAGCTAGAGGTCATTTGAAAAGTGGCGAGTTTAACTGAGGGTGGTGGTTCACGCCTTTCATCTCACCATCAGGGATGCAGAGGCAGGTGGATCTCAGAGTTGGGGCCAACCTGGTCTACATATCAAGTTCCAGGCCAGCCAGGGTTACATAGTTAAATCCCGGTCTCAAAAGAAAAGTGTGTTAGGTCTGACCCAGACATTGGATAGCCATCTAGTTCCCATCTTCTTCTGGGGACGGTGCCCTCGGGAGAGTCTAGATGGTTCCTGGAGCAACCAGTGGCCATTACTGTAGAGGTGGATCAAATCAAAGGAGCAAGTGTTTGCCCTGACAGTTGGCTTCAAGGGGCTGCCATGTGGAAAATACTGGGACTTTGTTAAAAAAAAAAAAAAGGGGGAAGGGTAGACCAGGGATCCAGGGTGAATTCCACTTCTTGGGCTAGGGAGGGATAAGTCCTGGTGTGGTGGTCCCTGCTGAGTCTAAGGGAGGCAGTGGGGTCTCCCTTTCTGTTTTGTTAGGGTCTTCAAGAAGTCGAGCCCTAACTGCAAGGTGAGTCACCCACAGTGCTTATGCTTCGATCCTTCCTGGGCCCTATCAAAGCCCAACCTACCCCCAGCTGATCCCCAACCCTTAGCTCCCCACTTCCTGTGACAGCTAAAAGCAGACTTCCTTCCCTCCTTAAGCCCCTTGCCACAGTCTGAAGAAGCCACAGGGCTGGGTGGGGACCAGGCTAGGTTCCTAAGCAAGCTTGTAATTCTCTTAGGAACCAACCCAGGGTACTTGGGACTAGGAAAAGTTAATAGTTCCCCAGGCTGTGGCCTGTTTATTGCAGAGCCCTTTGTGGGGAGAGCTGCTAACTGCCTGGTCTGACTGAGTGCTCCCTGAAGACATGGGAACACACACATATACACACATACACCTCTGTCCTTGCTTGGTGGACAGCGGTATGAAAAGTGACCAGAGGAGCAGACAAAAGCCTAAATGAAAGCTTTAAAGAATAGTCTGGAAAGCCCTACCACTCTCACCTTCCAATAACACTGGGAGAAACTCCTTCCTGATAACCCAGCCAAGGGGAGCCCAGGACAGGGCCGCCATCTTTGAGGGCTCTGGTGGCTTGCCACCATCCTCCCCAATTTTGCCTGTGACCCTTGACATCCTCAGCTCACCGTGTACTTGGGCAAGCGCGACTTTGTAGACCACCTGGACAAAGTGGATCCTGTGGGTGAGTTTGCCTAGAAGGGGGTAGCTCATCCCCCCAGGAGGGAGGAGGTTCCTGGTTCTGGGGATGGGGAAAGGCCGCCTTCAGAAAATGAATCCACGTCTCCCTTTCCTAGATGGCGTGGTGCTCGTGGATCCTGACTACTTGAAGGACCGCAAAGGTTTCAGACCCAAGTCCAGGAGCTGGAGGGGAGGCAGGAAGAAGAAGGAATTCGATGGGTTGGCAT